AGCATTCTACCACCAAGCCAACCCCCACCTCCAGACCTTATGAGTGGGGGGCTGGAGGAAGTGATAGAAGGCTAGTAGTAGGTGGCTCTGGGCCCTCACCATTTCTAACCAGAACACCTTCTGTTTGTCCAAATGATTCTGTTACTGTTTTGTTAACAACAAAAATGCCCTATGGACTGCCCATGCAGAAACTCTGTTGGCCTTTTCCACTGTGCACAAGTCATCTTAGTTTTAACTAATAAAGTCATTTGAAATTTCTCTGTGGGTTATGCTATTTGATGAGTTGATAGTCCCAAGGAACGTCAATGCACTAACTCTTTGGATTAAAAGTAGAATTTAGAGAAAGTACCTTGCTTATATTGCCAGTGCCATGGCCCAGGGATGATAGTAGAGTGAAGAGGCTCCTTTGTAGGCCAGAGAAGACTTACAATATCAGCACCTGACCTGTACCTTGCAGAGAGTGCTCAAAGGCCTGACCTGGCTCAGAGGAAGAGAGTCTCAGCAGAATTGGGGAAAAGGGGGCTTGAGGATACACCTTGTCCCTGGTTACAACACATACCTGACACATGTCCTTTTAAGGTGAGCAATTGTAGATTGATTGTTGACATTAAGGGACTACTTTTTAAAAAATTCTCCGCAATTTCTTTTAAATAGCTTGTCATGTGGTAGTTTTTTAATCTCATCTTGTTTGAATGTATCTTTAATACTTGGCTGAAAGGCTGGAGTCCCAGCAGAGAGAAACATAGACTGTTAGGAGCTATGCCCTTTGATATCTGCTAGACATGGAGAAAAGGCACTGCATAGATTTTAATCTGAGGAAAACAGGGCTGTCATCCACCATACCCTAGTTCCATAGCATAAGTGAGGCCCAGGTGCTGCAGCCCCCAGGTTCCCAGAGGAAGGGAGATGTCAGGAGCCCATCCACTCAGTGAGAGCTGGTCAGATCCCCCTGTGGGTCTTGAGCCTATCTCAGTTCCGGAAGCTCTTCTGGAGCCCATTTGTGGGGCAGCCTTGAGAGATGAAGAGAACAACATTGATGGAGACCACACTTGAGCCAGCAAGGCCAGCAAGTGCTGAGGTATGTGGTGGACCCAGCTGCATGGCTGCCCAGGGGCCATGTGGTTCCAGAGCCAAGGTCCCCCCTTCGACCTTGGCTTTCTGCCTGATATCAACCATCCAGTGACCACATTGAACTAAAACCCACCCTTTCTGCGTTAGGCACCTGTCAAAATTAGAATTTTCTCTAACTTTTCCAGCTCTTTTGATCTTGTTAGAAATGCCGGGTTCAGTGTTGGTGGGTTTGCTACCAGCCTTGCCACCTTGCCATGACCTGGGCTGTGGAGTCCAGGGCCTGCCTGTTCTGCCCTGGAAGATTCTGTCTGGGGCCCGGTGGTGTTTCTGTGACTGGCTATGACTACTGCTCCCCTCCCCATCGCTGCCACCCCAGAACCCAGGACTGGCCAATGGGCAGGACATTAGACAGGAAACAGCTGTTGTTTTGACACAATATGTGCTCACCTCACTTTATTTGTGTGTGGGGAATGGAGCCCAAGGCCTTGCACACACTAGGCAAGCACTCTCACTGAGGTACACTCAGCTCACTTTTTGAATCATCAGAAGCAGACCGTCCACTCCAGGCCTCTGCCCTCACAGATAGACTTTGAGACCAGGACTAAAAGAGGCACGTGTCTTTTATACATCTTGTAAAGTATATTTCTATAGGTATATGTGTATGTACACTTTCTCATTAGCAGGGGTTTTGTTGTTATGTTTTTAAAATAGCATCTTGCTATGTTTATGTTGCCTAGGCTGGCCTCCAGTTACTGGTCTCAAGTGATCCTCCTGTCTCAGCCTTTCAATTAGCTGAAGCTATAGATATATGCCACCACATCAAGCTAGCAGGATTTTTAAGTTGATATATAGTGTCATTTGTCCAACTAGATGTAATGTGCACATAGCAAAAAATAGTCAAAAGATGAATACTGCGGAGTAAATCGCCTCCTCTCTGTTCCTCCTGAGGGGGAAGCACAGTTCCAGTTTCCTTGGGTATCTCTTTGGAGATCACTGGGCCCTGTACTGGCATATATATAGATAATCTTTTAAGCAGTGCTGACATTACCTGATACTTGGCTTTGTTTTTTGTTTTGTTTTGCTTTTGCAGTGTGGGGGATTGAACCCAAGGGTGTTCTACCACTGAGCTAGAGCCCAAGCTCTTTCTGCTATTTTGATAGGATCTTGCTAAGTTTCCCTGGGTGGTCTTGATCTTTGCATACATAGGTCTTGAGGACTGTCCCGTCCCATATAGTACATGTATTTTTTTAACCACTGTAGAATGGCCCATGAGTAGCCATGTCATATATGCTGTTTGCTGGACATTTTAGGTTGGTTCCAGCTTTTTACTCATTTTGACTTAATGCCTTTCAGATGTGGGGACTGTTAGTGCTCCTGTTTACTGTGACCTATGACTCATAGGCTGAGGATTCTGTATTTCAGGGCCCCCTTCCCTTCCCCTCAACACATTAGATTTCTTTGTTAATGTGTTGTCATATTTGACACTCTGACTTTGTAGATGATAAAATGATATTTGGGTTATGCTTAAAAGCCATCTCTTACCTCTACATTGTCCCCATAGACTGAGAAAGGAATTCCTTGGTTTCCTTCAGAAGGATTGGGCTGTAGTTTGGCTTTTAAAGGACTTGGTTAGAGTCTAAGCCTTAAATTTGACCAGCCCCATCTGGGGTAGTGGCAGCATAGCAGATCTGTGGAAGCTCAGTCCCTCCTCCTCACTGTGCCAATCTGTTTCTGTGGTGGCGGATGGCAGCATGGTGTTAAATTTGGAGACCCCCATTGGCTCCTCATGTCAGCTCACATATGTCTGCAAGCATGGGGCATGGAGCGCAGTGGACCCCTGCAGAGTCCCCGACTGCCGGCAGAAGGGCCTCAGGTGTGCCGGCTCTCTGGTGCCATGATCAAGGTGGGTTACCTCCACCAGGCCACCTGTTCAGCTCAGGTTTCCTGACCCATCTGCCTGGGACAGACCCTAGAGCCAGAGGGCCAGATGGGGGGCAGGGACAACAGAGGGTCTTGCAGACCGTGTGCTCTTGTGACATCCCTGAAAACCTTTCCCCCGCTCCACTTGCTAGGTAGGAAGTCTTGGACCAGTGTCTCACCTGCTTGAAGCCAGCAGATGCCACTGATTGGTGCCCCTGTCCTAGGCCTCCGTGGGCGCTGGAGGCAGCAGGGTCCTCATTGAAAGCAGTCAGCATTCATTTTGTTTTTCTCCAAGTTCTCTGTGTCTGTGTGTGATTGGAATGAAACATCAACTTTTTTTCGTTTTTGTCATATTTCAATATTGGCTTCTTTCCTTCCTTCTTGAAGCCTCCTTTTATAACTTCTTCTGCTGCTGCTTAAATATAGATGTCTAAGTCCTCCTCCTTACCAGATTGTTTATATTTTTGAAAGCCTTCTGCTTATCTGTGGCTGCTCCCTCCTCTCTCTCTCTATCCCTACTTTCCCACATGGGTGATGGTTGCTCTTTTTCCCCTGCCTTCTCTTAACTGGGATGTGTTTCAAATGTGGTCTATCAAAATGTTCAGTGTTTCCCTCTTTTCTGCAATAGCTTTGACATCTGTTCTTGAATGCTAGCCCACATTATTCTTTTGGACTTGTTTGCCCAAGATTTGCTTTTATGCCAGAAATACTAAAAGAAGAGTGTGCCGTGGTGGCATCTCTTCCCCTCCAGTCCCTTGCCCCCTCCCCTTTTTTAAACTGTCTGTGATTTCTAAGTTGACAGCACACTGGATGTTTGTTCCAGCTCTCTGTCATCATGTCTGGCCATGGGCCACCCCAAAGTGGTACTAATGCAGCATTTCCCAGGAGGGCTTTCAGGCCTGTTGGGTTGTTTCCACCAAAAAGGAGTCACTTCAGTGTCATTTCAGGCAGTGGGTGGAGAAGGACTCCAACTTGCACCCTGGGTATCAGTGGATGGCCTCCTTGGTCTTTCAGCTTCTATTTATTAGGCCCTTTCTATGCTCAGCTGCAAGGTGGTGGGCCCTGCTCTGGGGACACCAATATGGAGCAGCCACCCTGAGTCCTAAGCAGAGTGAGCTGCTATCCTCAGTAGCTGAAGCCACTCAGTGAGACATCAGGGCTGTCAGTTGTGATGGCCACATGGCCTGTGCTCTTGCCATGAGCCTGGAGCACCAGCCCAGGCCCATCTGCCCCAGGCTACTTTGGAACAGCTCCTCCTGGGAGCTCCTCCCGGAATCTCCAAGGCTACGGAGAGTGTCAGTTACCATGTACAACAGAGCCCAGAGCCTACCACTCTGGCAAGTCCTCTTCTGGGGACCCAGCCCTGGTGATCCTTAGAGTCCAAGGAAATTTAGATATTTTTGAGAATTACTGCCACTGCCAAGTGCTGTGCTCCTGAAAAGTTTACAAGATATGGTAAATAATTATTCTTGGCATTTGTCTTTTAAAAGGCTCTCTTGCAAACTAATAATAACAGGTTAATGGTCCTGAGCATGATGCCTGGTCTAAAGTGAGCTCGCAGTAAATATTTGTGACTGCCTAAGGTCCCAGGCCCATGTTCTTTTAGAACAGACAGAATGCTCATGTTGTGCAGGAAACCATAACTAGGAGAATGACCGGAAAGATACTGCCAAGAGCAGACAAGGAGCAGTTCCAGGGAGGACACCATGGGGACACTGGCTGGTTCTAGCTGGGGACTGTTTTTGCGTTTGCGTCATAGGCGATCATTTATTTAGCACGTCCAGTGTCAAGCAAGTTTGGCTTCTTCTGGCCAGTGCCAGTGGGATGCATGTGGGGTGGATGAACTGTGCTCGCTGCCCTTGCTGCTGTCCCCCAGCCCTACTGTGCCCAAGCTTGTTAACCTCTGGAGTCTTGGGGTTTTCCCTAGCATTCTGCTCAAATGTACACATGATCCCCATAGTAGAATGTGCAATTACAATCTTGTTTATTCTTTTTGTGTCTCTTCACAGAGAGAACTCGATGCTACTGCAACAGTTTTGGCAAACCGGCAAGATGAGAGTGAGCAGTCCAGAAAACGGCTCATTGAGCAGAGCCGAGAGTTCAAGAAGAACACTCCAGAGGTGAGGCGGAGCTCCTCAGTGAGCTCTTGGAAAGGTCTTGGCATTCTGGAACATATTCAGAACACGTGATATAAGCATTTTGTGTTTCAGCAGATGAAGGCAGGGCAAGTTGCCCACTTCTTTCTTCTGTTGTCCCAGCCCCATCTGAGCAAATTGCATGTCCCCACATAGGCTGTGGAGACATTGTGGTTGATTGATTGTCCAGAAAATTCAAAGCACCAGCTAATTCCATGTGCAAACATTGAACACGCTGGGCATATGAGAGCATGTGGCCAGGAGTGCAGACATGTTAGACACTCAAGCTCATCCCAGTCAGTGGCCCTTTAGATCTTAAGGGACACTGTGGGGCCTGAGACCTCTGGGCCAGCTTCCCCAGTGCTGGGTAGCAGAGTGTCTCAGGTACATGCATTCAAGGTTGGCTTCTTGCCAGTATTTCTTGTAAAACAGTCGTTTCATCTGCTTCGCCTTTTAAACGTTTCTTGAAGTACACTGTAAAGGGCACTGTGAATGTGCTCTTTACTGCTTTTGGTTTTTCTTATATGTGTGGGGAGGCCAGTGCTTAGAGTGGCTAGAGCAGCATCCTTCTAGTCGGTCTTCAGGGTCCCTTATTTCCTTCAGTGCTTTTCACAGATTAATAAGAAATGTAGAGAACGCAAAGAGCTCCAGAGGGATATGCAGGTGCGGGAATTGCTCTCTGGGGCACAGCTGATTTAGCCTGCCAGAATCTTGTGCCCTGGGGCTCCCACCCAGCCCAATGGGATGTGAGTGAGTTGTAGCTGCCACAGGCCACTCAAGTTTTCTATGGCTCTTCCAGGTAGGACAACAGAACAGCTTTGGAGGAAAAGCCACTTTCTGGAGCAGATGCCCCTAATTTGTGATATAATATTCTTGAAAAGTTTTATTAGACACAAAATGCAGATAGGACTTACTGGTTCTTAGGGTGGCCACCCTCTATGTGGCTTTTGGGAGATGGCCTTGCCATGAGTAAAGACAGGAGAAAACTAGGGACTCAGGATAGAACTTCCCCTTCTGATTGCCTCAAGCCTCAGGATGCTTCAGTGTGAGCCCGCTGGAGGGAGTGGTGGTTTCCTTGGCTCTCAGCCTTGACTCTGTTTCTCCAGTCAATTCTCTTCAGGTCCATCTCGTGGACAGCTCTTAGCCATGAGTACCATACCACCTGCTGGCTGTTTTCTCACCACCCTTCCCTTGGTCATCCTATGTCCAAGGATTTCCATAGCAGACCAGAAGAAGGACCACAGACAGAGGGTAAAGAAGCATAGTCTGTCCTATTTACTGCAAAGATGATGGAGCAGAGAGCTAGCTTCTTGTGCTTCCTCAGGGTCCAGACTCCTCCTTGGCTAGTAACAGTGAGGTGTGTTCTTGCCTGGCTATCCATTGCCTCATGCTGGGTTGACAGATGTTGACAAAACTGAGCCTTGTCCCTACATCTAAGCACCTAAGCAGGGCTTGTTCTTCAGAAACTAGGAACTAGCTTACATGGCTTGTGCTGAAGGCCATGCTCCTTACTCAAGGAAACCCAGCCTTGCACTTTGGATCTTTATCTTCTCCTAATCCTTAGAAACAGAAAAGGCTTAAGTGGGAAGCAGCTGGTTGGTAAATGCCATTGGGGCATTTCTTTTCTGATCTCACCTTTAGACTTTGTCTTCCATGGAGAAGGGGACCCTAGGTTGAACCTGGAAGGAATGAAAGTATCATCTATGTGCTGCTGGCCCAGCCTCTGCCAGTGGTCAAGGCTGGTATCCACTTGGCATCTTCCACTTGGGCAGAGTCCTGTGGTGGAAGTTTCTGGGAAGCCTGGGGGTAGCCACATGCAGGCTCCTGTCCCATGGCTAGTACTTCCAGACTTTGAGTGTGAAAATGAAGGTTGCTTAGAGCTTTGCTCAGGGAGTAAAAGAATATTGATTTATCATGTGGGAAGGCATCCCTTCACTGTAGTCATAGCATGGTCCTCTCCTGCTGCTGGCCCAGTGAGGACCAGGCCCTTGCCCCAGGACAGCCTGCAGGGCAGGGCAGGGCAAGCCAGGCAGGGCTGGTCATCTTCTTGCTGGTGTTATGCCATGTATGTTAATTCCTGATGAAAATATCCCTGTCTATTTTTTATCTGGAAGAGAGGAAATTTTCTGTGTAGTGTCTATGGAATTGTTATATGGAGGATTAGGCCCCCTGAGAATTCAGAAAGGAGTAAGACTTGGTCCCTCAACAAAGCTTATGTTTTCTTAGATTGACCCTTTTCACGGGTGACCGGGAAGACTGCCAGTCCAGGAGGGAAAGGCTGCGCCCAGATGGGCAGGTGGCAGGGTCAGAAAGGGGACCTTGAAAGCTGTGGGAGGGGCTGAGTAGCTGGGGTGCTATGTGGCTAGCCAAGGCTCTAACAAGTATGAGGAGCCCCAGGAATCCAGAAGGGGGCCTGACGTAGCTGGAGCCTTGATTTTTTGTTTAGAATGAATGTTTTAGGTTTCAGTTTTATCTTGTGTTTTTTTTAATCTAAAAATTGTGGTTAATTTGAAAGAGATTAGTTACTCTACAAATAAAGTTTTATGCGTTTTCTTTACATCAACAAGTGTCCCTTTCTAAGAAAAACCATTTAAATATTTAAATATAATATATTACATATATATATAATATATATATATATATTTTTTTTTTTGGTATCGGGGATTGAACTCGGGACCTTGCGCTTGCCAGGCAGGTGCCGGAACCACTGAGCTAAATTCCCAGCCCAGATGTTTTTTGACTAAACATTCATTCCTTATTGAATTAATAATCACCTAGTAGAACCTAATAGATGGCAAAACATTTCTCGAGTCTGTTGCTTTTCCCATGTTTTACTGCCAGTGACTTACTTGCTGTGTGTCTTTGGACAAAGTTTCAGCTTTGTCATCTATGAAAAATGTAATGCCAAGACCCAGCTCATAGCGTTGCTGTATGTACAAGCATGTGCATACATGTGTGTATGTGTGCCCACATGCATGTGTGTATAAGCACGTGTGTGTGCAATGCATGTATAGATAAATGGGGGGGGGTTCCATATAGTCCTGGCACCTAGAGCCCAGTGAGTATTTATTATTAGTATTAACTTCAAACACTCAACTACATAATGTGTTAGAGGCAGTTGATTTTTACAGAGCCAGATCAGGGACTTTGAAAAAAACTAGAACAAATATAGGTAGTTTCAGCTTAAAGTATTCCCAGAGTTGGTTTATAATAACAGTTAATCATTTTACAAATATTTATGGAACACCTTCCATGTGCCAGATGGTTTGGCCCTGGGGAGAAAATCCTATCCCTGTTCTTAAAAGTTTCTTATCTTTCTCACCAGGCAGTAGAACAGAGCGATGCCGCATGCTGAGTGCTGAGATCGCATAGCTGGCATCTTCTGACTGTGCACTTTCCCCACAGAACACTTATGGCTGTGGTGAGAACGTTTCTCTGGAGAAACCACAGATGGCTCAGTTACCCTCTGTATAGATAAACAGTTCTCCCTTTTTGTTGTTGTTCCTGGGAATATAGCTACCACTGAGCTACATCCCTGACTCTTTATTTTTTATTGTTGAGACAGTGTGTTGCTTAGTTGCCCAGGCTGGCTTCTGGAATTTGTGTGTCCTCCTGCCTCAGCCTCCCAAATAGCAGGGATTATAGGCATGCACCATTGCACTCAGGGTCAGTTCTGCTTTTTGAGCCTTCTTCCTTCTTCTTCCTCTTTTACACCTCCTCCTCCTCCTCATCTTTCTTCTCTTCACCCTCCCTGTGTCCTCTGTCACCCATCGCCTCCTCATGCCCAAGGAGGGAGAAGATAAGCAAGGGAGGAGACAGGGGCTCCAGAACTCTGAGTGGGTGACAGAGACACTCCAGGGTCAGACTGCTGGGCAGAGTAGCTGAGCCCTTGCCTTAGAGCTGGGTGCTGGGGAGCAGGAGATGGATGGAGGGATGGGGTCACCCCTGCTGTGACCAGGGACTCTGCAACCTGGCCATAGAATGTACAAGAGCAAACAACAGCTTTCTGGAAGCCTGGTAGTATTAGGTGTGATCCCTCACTCCGGGAGACAGAGGATCAAAAGTTTGAGCCCAGCCTGGGCAACTTTGTGACTTAGTTGATACTCTCTCAGAATAATAAAAAGGGTTGGGAATGTAGTTCAGTGCAAAGGCCTTGGGATCAATCCCTAGCACCAAGGGGGAAAAGGAAGAGAAAAGAGAGAGGAAGAAAGTGTGTATTCCAGTACAAGCCAAAAGCCTGGCTTCCACTCTATAAAACTTCCTTTCTGTAAAACTATTCCACTCTATAAAACTATTTCTTCCACACACAGCTGCTTTTTTGTTGGTTTGACCAAGGTGCCGGCTGAGCTCCCATTCCTGCCAGCATGATTCCAGTGGCCTTTTCTTGGGTTTCTGGTCTTGGGTTTGTATGGATAGGCAAGACCACAAGCACTTGAAACCTTGAGTCACTTCTCATCAGGTATCACAAGAGGATGGCTCCAGGGTTTCATTCTTCTACCAAGGAATTGCTTTTTTCTTGCTTTTCCATTTGGTTGTGCTTGACATTTGCTTTTCAGACCAAAGTTTGGTCCCATTCCTACATCTTGGCTGACCTGGGACTCAAACCTAGGCAGACTGGCTGCTGAGGCTGTGTTCTTACTGACTCCTTGATGAGATGAGCCCACATAATGGCTCTGTGTAGCAGAGGCCCTTCGAGTGGAGTCTCAGACACTGACTTACAGTGGAGCTCACTGGCTCTGCTGCAGGTAGTTAGTTACGTGGGCAGAGTGGCTAGTGAGGTTGAAGACGGAGTGCCCCAAGGTGTATGTCTCACCAGTCCTGTGCCGTGGGTCTTGACTCAGGACTGTGCTGTTGAAGGGTGATGGTTGACTACCACATGAGTGGTCTTTGCACAAGGCTGACCCGCAAAAGAGCCTGGGCATACTTTTCATTTTGTTTTGCTTCTGTGCTATTCCCTTCCTTTCCCTGGAAGAAAGGAGGGAGAG